TCAGCCACGCACTTTTTTCAAGACTGGCCGGGATCTTAAAAAAAAAGAAAAAAAGACTTCCGAGATCTTTTAGGGGTCCGTTTTTGAAAAATCCGGAGTCACACAATGCATTTCGCTCTTGGAATACACTATCTTCAGTATTCAAGGTTTTCTGAATTAGCTGCATGCGCTGCAAGGAACTGGGCTAGCATCAAGTGGCGATCAAACACTAATTAGGTGGCGATTCCCAGGAGCCAAGGAACCTATTGTGATAGTTGATCATTCCTCCCGTGGGGGCCTGACGCGAGGCGCCCTGTTTCCCTGCCTACAGTAAACATATCCGTCTGAAAGATTCGGAAAAGGAATTTTTATCCACGACATGTGGTCCTTCAACTTAGCTGTAGTCAAAGACATCTTTCTGTATCTGTTGACTTATAAACTCATGATAAATTCTCGAACGTTTTCTTCGATAAAATGTTTATATTATTCAAACTGTACATCCATGTTGATTACTCTCATACGCTTGATTATAGTTTTGCAATAAAATGGATTATCATTCATCCTCTTCAATTATTAACATTCACTATATTTTTATTTAATAATTATTTGATAATCAATATTAATCAATTTGTAAACTTTTATATCATCGATCGAAAATTATGTGAAACGTTCGAGTGTGTTGGAGTTTCAGAGGTCAATAATTGCGTTCCTTTGAATTCCGGCAAATCTTTGGCAACAGCTAGTATCTCTGGTCTTTAAACCACTTAATATTAAGAATTTCAAGAGATTTTTGTGTTGCTGTTTATCCGAATATTAGTAGTGTCTGTCTGACGATAAGAAGTGGCTTTTCCGACTTTTCCTGATGATTTGGAAAACAATAACGACAATTGTACAGCTCTGTAAAAGCCGTCAAATTCCATCGAGTACATCGGTAATCGGCGGCAAACCAGCACTCGGCACCCATCCCCACCCCCCATCAAATAATAAATCCACTGAAGAATGATTATGGAAACCTGTATCGCATACTAATTTCTGCCTGAGCTCTGATTGGCTCGCTTCTCCCCAAGGATTTTGGTGACGTCATATATTAGCATAGAACTTCACCGAATAGACTACCCCCATTTGACATTAGATATCTATAAGTGTCTTCATAGTACGATGGTCTAAGAGGGTAGCTAAAGGTATGCTCTAGTGGGCGGCTACCCCCTCACTCCCTGAATCTTCTCCTGAAGTGAAAGTTCTGAGTTCGAGTCCTGCTTCCAGAATTTCTCTTTTTTCACTTGTTTATTGTTTCTCATTTTCGTTTGATTATTGTTTTCTTTTTTCTTTCTTTTCCTTTTTATCTTTCCTTCTTTTTCTTTGCTGTTGTTACTTTGTTTGTTTTATTCTAGAGATTTCCTCTTTTCAACTTAATATCAAGGATTCGCAAGGAACGCCTGTTATAAGTGGATGGTTACGGATCGGTCACTTAAACATGATTATAATAGTGACGAGGAGACCCATGAGGCCTTTCGTCGCAAAAAATAAAAGAAGAAAGACGATTTTTTCATCACTCTATAAAAATTATTTAAAAATGGAAGCAATCAACAAAAACCGAAATGTAAGTTGTTCAAGTAAATGATTTTTGTAATAATGAGGTTCATTGAGAGCTGAAAGGAGTAAAGACAAGTTTTGAAATAAAAATCTTTTGATCTAATAAAGGTGTCACAGGTGCGTCATCAGGAAGAACGCTAAGTTATATTCTCGGTGCGATAATCGCCGTACTGATTGTGATCATCATTGAATTGATGTTTTACATTCGACAATTGAGAAATCTTCTTAACGGTAAGTTTTGTTTCTTTTTTTAATGAATCGTTACCTGATAATGGACTCTGACAGCTAGATTGTGTGGTTGCTTCGAAGGTGAGTTGTGGGTTTTATACAATGTATTCAAACTCTTTTGTGTCTAAAACTAGGCAAAACTATCTATGCATTTGTAAATTTGGTATTTCTCAATAATTATTCCGATTTTTGGGCACTTTATGTGGTTTGTTCAGGATTCCAACATCGCTTGGCTTCCCGGGGGGAATTGCTAAAAAAAAATTGCTATACGGGGACGTGCCGCTGGTCAGGGTATGGTTTTTGGCCTTGCTGTCTTAAACAGGGTATACATTTCACCCGAAATTGTCTTAAACATGCTTGACAATCTAGATAAAAGACCGATATATATATATTTTTTGTATCTTAGACAAGGTAATATTTTCATAAGAAATACCGTAGAAATAATAGAAATAACGTTTCACTGTCCCAGGATTAACGTGATTGTCTTTGATGGATGTCAGTATAATTGCGCTTTTGATGGTTGCGGCGCAGATTGCTATTCCTTATTTTTCCTATTTGTCTTGAACAGGGTATGGATTTTCACTTTCTAGTGTCTTAAACAGGGTCAGGGATTTAGACCGTACCTATCCAAAATGGGGCCGAGTAACCCCCCCTTCCCCCGGGCTTGGCGGGCTTGGCTTACACACTTACACTTACACAACATCAGTCTTCAATTACCTTGCAGAAATAGAAATGGAGCTCAGAACCAGCTTCGGGAGACCAGAAATCGCAGCAGAGTGTAACTCAAAATGTGCTTTGGCACACTGAAAATTTCCGTCGGGAAACTATACCGGAAATGTTTATCACAGCAATGTGACTCAAAATGTTCTTGACGCTGAAAATTTAGATTTTTTAATCTTTAATTAAAAACATAATCTACATACCCATATATATGATCAGTTGTGTCTTGTGACAATGTATAATGTACAATACATATTATAAACGGTGGGTTTAATGATGTAGATGTCTGTTTTAATAAATTAATAGCTTAAAATAAGTAAACACACTGTTGCGGTCTCACTGCCCGCAATATCTTGATTTGTTGAATAAATAAACATTTTCTTTATTACGTAATTTTGGGTAAAGCTAACTTTAGTGTGCATCTCTTCATGAAATGCAGCGTTCCCTCAGTCTTTTCCACTCAATTTCCCTTTTTTCTTTTTAATATTATTTTTGTTATTCATGTCAAACTGTTAACACTATTTTTCTGTTTTTTTTGTTTTGTTTCCTGATTGACGGTCTGAAATGTCCTTCAAGCTTGCGTTTGAAGTCAGCCTATACTCAGTTCCAATCTTTCACGGACAAAGACTACGTGACAAATTATCATGCAAATATTCACGGAAATAGATTTAAGGTGGCTTCCTACAGTTGTTTTTCGACCATACTTCTCATTTTAAATTCGCTTTTTCGAAAATCTTTCTATGCACCGATTTGTTTCGTGTTTAGACCAGTATTATAGCATTGACCAAGGTTTTGTTTGGCATGATATTTAGCTCTATCAACGTTACCTAGGGAACGGAATTTGCATTTTGTCGAAATTCGTTTTTGCCAAATATCTCAAAAAATTGATGAGATCCAGAAAATCGGTAGACATCATCATTAACTTCAAACTATTGCATAACGTTTTGGAATAGTTAAAAACAAATTCATCTGTTCGATTTCGAGTAATATTGACAAATATTTCATGGATGTGATTTTTGTATATTTGTAGGAAGCCACCTTAATCGATATTTTTAAAAATTTGATTTCTACATTCTACGTTTTATTTTGACAAGGCATCAAGTCTTCTACTTCAAATCTTTAAGTTTCTATTACATCTTTAGACTGTTTTTGTTTTGAAAATCAGCGATGTATGTGATGTATTGTTTGTCATGTCATTTCTACAGACAATCAACATATTTCGACAATGAAAAGAGAATGGAACTGTTAAAAAATCTCCCTTGCACAATAAGAACAAAAAAATAATAATAACACAAAAACGCATGCCAGTTCTAGCCTGCATAACTGTCTAAGTTTCAGCTCTAGAAAGTATAATTTTGAGTTCTTTTGATTTAACTTCCGCAGGACACAAACATGTCATTTTATAAACTGCCATCACTTTTAATGACTAATAGATTACGACGATGTACGGGTTGCTATTACCATCAAAAATACAACGCTGAAAAACAGTCCAGAAGTAAGAGCAATGAAATCGTCTAGTGACCTATATTAAAGTCCTAGTAGTTATACTACTGAGGGGACCAAAAAAAGGAGAAGTGTCAGGATCGCATTGGAGGGGGATTTTGGAGGATCCTGGATCCCGCAATACCGCAGAAAAATTTCGGAAATCCCGCAATACCTCAAAGAACTATCGCAAATCCCGCGTCCCGCAAAATGTTTTTACAGATTAAACTTTGTTAAAAACGAAATGTAAATTTCGTATATGACAGCCATGCAATGCTGCACGTTTTAGTCATGACATTTTATCGACATAGATTGCCATTTTTTTACTGCGACTCACTTTAAATACTTTAAATTTTTGCAAAAAGAAAAGTTTAGATGTTCTACCCGACGTTTTCCTTCTTCTTAGAAAAACGTAACGCCATTCTGTTATACTTGAAGGTGTTGAACTGCTTTGTGAGCTTTGCTGTTTGTTAACTGACTCTATCTCGACTACTTCTTTACTGGCCAAGACTTGATAGTCAGTATGCCAGATACCAGCATGAATTCGGCTTACGTGAATCTTAAGTTTCATTATAAAATGAAATCCTCGCGTCCAGCTGGGATTACCCGCAATTCGAAAAATATTTTTGCGAATATCGCATATCGCACGGATCGCATATCCCGTATTACCGCAAGATTTTGATCATTTTACCGCGATACCGCATAAAAAAATGGTCAATACCGTAATACCGCAAGTCCCCCTCGCATTGTCATGCACTGTACCTCAATTTCGTTTTAATCTTTCTGTCGTTAAATAAGAGAGCCATCTGTCATATTGCATTGCTAGTCGATGGTCATCGACTCGCAAAGACACTATAATCAGTTCTGCACTGCGAAGTAGCGTATGGAATGCATGTTTCTTGACGAGACGTCGTCAAAAGCTTCCCATAGAAGTCTACTCTAAACGACATTCTTTTTGTTAGTTCTTGACACTCCACTATGTATTTCCGTGTACTGATTGCCTTCTCAATGCTACAAGCGGTATTTGGTAAGTAGTAGAGTGGTCGTTTGTTACTAAACTGGTAACATCGTCAGCTTAGACATCTGATGCCACAGTCTGCATGACTGAATGCCGTGCTTTGGTCTTACAATCTGCTCCAAGTGTTTATAAAGCCCGTTTCAGACGTCTACCTTTTGTCGCGTCTAATCTAATCGCTTACATGCAGTTCTCGAAAGGTTTGCAGTCTACATCGATTGATACTCACGGATTATAAGGGGTATAGAATGCCAGCATAGTGTTTCAGAAATCGTTAAGCCGAGGCTCGCAAAATTTCCAAAGGCTCGCAAGCTTGGCGCTTAAAGAAAGAGGCTCCTGCTCGAATTGAAAATCGCTTTTGGCTCGGAAGCTCGCAATTGACGAAATATCGGACTCGGAAACCCAAAGGCTCGCAGGCTCAGCGAGGCTCATATTTTACCATTCGATACCCCTATTATAGTAAGTTTGTCCAATTGAATAAAATCTACTTATACCAATAAATTTAGTGTACAAAATGCTTATAAAGTCAACTCAACCAATTAGAACAGACTCGACAAAAGATCGACGACGTCTAAACAGGCCTATTAAGTGATATTGCTTTGGTAATGTTGTTTTTTTATTTGTCATATAATTTAATATGCAATAACAGCTGCTTGCATCGGGTTCCTGAATGAGCTGAAAAAGCCGTAATGTGAAGGATCAAGGAATGAAATATGAAAAGAAATTCTGGGATCAGGGATCAATGCAACAATGTTAATCATACCTACGTACTTGTTACTCACATACGAAACAATTAACGTAATCAGGTTTCACATCGATATTGGGAAGACACAAAACCATATGTTTCCAATGATCTCTTTTTTGATGATTTTGTGGTAATTTCCATGAATTATTTTACAAGGTTTTCAAGATTGTCCCTCAGATGTGGTTGGTGTTGAAAACAGAAATATCATACCAGACAGTAGTTTTACAGCGAGCACGGAGCTGAGGTCTCAATATGGAGCCGTCAAAGCTAGGTTTACTTCTGATAGTTGTTGGGAGCCAAATGGGAGTAACAAAGCTGATGACTATCTACAGATAGACTTGGGTAAAGTGTTTGTTATCTGTGCTGTGGCTACAAAGGGAAGCGCAAGACTTTTTGCATTAGAATGGACAACAGAGTACAAGATATCTTCATCAGTAGATGGTACAACATGGTCTTGGTATCCGGACAATAACACTGTCCAGGTAATTATCTAACTCCTCTGTATGTATTTAAGTGTTATCACATCATTTTTGTTAATCATTTAGTAATAATTCGTTCTGGAGTCTTTATTGTTCACTGTTTTCGATAAGCTTTACACGTAGTTCTTGAAGCTTTTGAGGAGTTGCAGTTGAGCGCGTGTGAGGGGGCGTAGGGTTACAACACACAGTAAAAAGCTTTAAAAATCGTTGGGGTAGGTCGACACATGACACTCACCCCCGTTCCACCCTCACTTCACTATGCTCTTGACACTGATGTTATTAAATCTGCAAAAATATATACCTTGATTGCTTTGGCTCCACGCTGTACTAGACATTTGTTGGCAACACTGACGGTAATACTGCTGTTAAGAATGTTCTAAATGCTCCTGTCTTGGCAAAGCTGATAAGATTTACACCAACAAAATGGAACAATTACAAAGCTTTGCGAGTTGAACTTTACGGCATTGAATATGACGGTAAGAATCTTTTGCTTACCTTATCCTTTGTTAAAACTAAAAAACGCGCGTTGAGATTGATTGTTTGGTTGCTTTTTACATACTGTGTAAAATCTAAAACCCTGTTTTATCAACTTATTAGTTTTTAGTTGCAAATCCTACAGTGTTGGTGTTGCAAGTGTTGCTAAGATACCAAACAACAAAATTTCATCCTCATCTAATTACAATACCAGTACTCCACCACACAATGGCAGGCTTGGTTACAATATAGGGTCGCCATGGTGTTCTGCTAGGTCAGACTCTTTTCCATATCTACAAATTAACCTGAGCACACCTTACGTCATTTGTGGTGTTGCAACACAGGGTGACCACATGTCGTCCAACCAGTGGGTGCAGACTTACTACATACAGACATCAATTGATGGCAGGTCATTTTTTGACTTAAAACAGAATAACATTGTTAAGGTAATGTTATCGTCCTCGTATCGTCATCAAAGACAGTAGATTGAAGTTTTTATCCCCGCTCATATAGCTCATATAGCCGTGTTTCAAATATCAAAGATCCTTTTATAACAATAGGAATTTTCTGGTAACATCGATCCCAACACAATTTTTCAAAACGTACTGTACGAGGGAACTGTTGGTCAGTACGTCCGCATACGACCTAAGAGTCACTATGGATCTACAAGCTGTATGAGAACAGAACTGTATGGTGTACAACAGACTAGAGGTATCGCTATTGTAATATGGTCTGCTATGATAAAAGGAATAAGACAGTCACATTGAGGAATATAAAAGTATATTCATTGAGTCCAGGAAGTACATAACCAGAAGTGTCCATCTCGCTAGTAATCTAGTCACCATCAGATGTCCCGAATCTATTTTCAGACAACCAATCGCTCTTGAACTACTATCGCTACATTGCTCATATAGTAAAGTATATGTTTTCTATCAAATTCAGAAATGGTTGTTCCGACATCTGTTGTTCCGGCGCAAAATGCGTACAATTCTCTTTATGCAAAATTCACTTTGTTCGCCTCCATCCAATAAATTTTCTTTTCTTGCTTGAAATAGTATCAACAAGGACCAATCAGGTGCCGTGTTATATGTGCGCGCGTTGTGATTGGTTGTCTAAAAATAGATTATCGGGACATCTGATGGTGACTAGATTACTAGTGAGATGGACACTTCTGGTTATGTACTTCAGGGACTCAATGAATATACTTTTATATTCCTCAATGTGACTGTTTTATTCCTTTTCATTTAAACGACCCTTTGGCTTTGGGAAATCATACCATACCGTCCGTTATTTTTTGTTTGATATATACATAAGTCCTAAAATTACTCCTAGATATTTTTTTGTTAAATATGATGTGTAGTTTATTCCATAATACTGTCCTTTTAAAGTTTGTTCCAGGATTTCCATTGGTATACCATCTGCAACTATTGTTCCTGATCACCGATTCACCGCGAGTTCATATTATAGTAACCATTATGTACCAAGTAATGCCAGGCTTAGGAAGAACGCAGCCTGGGAACCTGCAAATGACAAAATTGCAGGTTCCTGGCTGCACATTGATCTTGGTTCTGTGGTATTTATTTGTGCCGTTGCAACTCAAGGGAATGGCCATTCTGCCAATGAATATGTCAAGAAATACAAGCTCAGAACGTCAATTGATAATATTAATTGGAAATATTACCAGGAAAACAATGTAGACAAGGTGATTAAAGGATTGCATTTATAACATTTATGGTCCCTCACAATTCAATAAATAGTTGGGCAAAAATCTAATGCAATTATAGCCCGCGACACTCCTAACGAAATGTAGTAAATATGAGGTCTGGAAAAGAACCGTCGCAGAAAATCTAAAAAAAAAGATAACAAATGTTTAACATATTACAGTTTTAGGTTAGGTAATCAAGCGGCAGAGAACCAACATGTTTTCAGTCATCGCTTCAGATGCAAGAACGTATTGTGTTTTTTGTTTCAGATATTTGCGGGGAATACAAATAAAAACAGCATTGTAACAAACACTCTGGCAATTCCAACTAAAGCCAAGTTTATAAGATTTTACCCTGTGGCCTGGAATGCTTATGCAGCGATGAGGGTTGAAGTATATGGTGTACCTTTAGGTATGTGGTTACTCGTCAGGGTGTATAATGTTGATAATGATACTAACTATGCGCTTACCTACTTGGACCCATAATGCATTGGAATTTGATGCCAAGAAAAAAAGTAATTTTCTTGAGCTTTGGTCTGTTTCTAAACTGTTGTAGGTTATTAATATCGTAAGTATGTAATTATTTTGATGCCTCAGCTTTTTTTATTTTCATTTAGTTTGCAGCAAACCATTTGGTCGTGAAAAGGGTGGCAAGTTGGGGAATATCAAGATGACGTCATCATCTAAAGCAGACAATTCCCATGATGCATCTGATGGACGTCTCTATGGTGATGCGTCATGGTGCAGTAGTACCTCATCAAACTCAGAGTACATTCAGATTGACTTTGGAAAGATAATAACACTGACTGGTATAGCTACACAGGGTGACCACACCATGGATAAATGGGTCAAGACTTACAACATCAAATACAGCATAGATGGAATCCAATGGAATGATCACCGAGAAGGCGGAAATACTGCCAAGGTAGTTGCAGTAAATAGTCACTATCTGTTCTAAAATATCATCCTTTGTTTACGATGGTATCCATGATTTTCACTGTAGATCTTTCAAGGAAACAGTGACAGAAGTAGTATTGCAGTCCGATGGTTAAGTCATCCACTCACAGTGAAATATATCAAAGTGCATCCTCAATCTTGGAATACTGCAGTGTGTATGAGAATAGAAGTCTTTGGATGCAAGTATCGTAAGTATAATCAGACGTTTTGCAGTATTCATACTGTGGCGTAGTATATGGCATATTCTTGTTACGGTGTCTTATTAGTACATCGTTTTGCACAGCTTCTGCTCCAGAGATAACCGAGCTGACAAATCAAAACCTTACAGCATCAAGAGGTAGTTATGTCGAGTTGACGTGCCAGGTAAAGGAACCATTAATCCAGCACATTCAATGGTATTCTAATGGTAATGATGTAACCGGTCTTTCTGGTGGTATTACGCGGCATGTTACCTCTGTTAAGTCTTTGTTACGAGTAAACTATACCAATGCTATTGATGTAACCAGGAAATACCAGTAAGTACCTAGTAGCACTAATATAAAGGCTGATATAGTTTTGAATAATTAATTAGAAAGGTATTATTTGATTTGGTAAATGAGTGGTGTTGTGAGAGATGACCATCGAAAACTTACATCAACACTCTCTTGCGTACAAAGGTGCTTCAATGAAATAAATATTATGGTATGCCGACGGAACTACGTGTGTAAGTCAAAGTATGGAAAACAGAATAGTGAAGCAGATTCTGTGAAAAGTGCGCAAGTCCAAGTTATTCTTGGTAAGTAATCATAATGTCTTCAGAAATGTATTGTCCACTGTATATTGAAATATAGGCATAACTAATGTGATTATGTCTTGTTTTTTTAGACATATCTCCTGTTTTTCCATCGCCATTGCTGCATGTTTTTGCCAAGTCAGTGATCTTTGTCTGGACTTATCCCGTCAATTCATACGTTAGAGCTGTAATGGTCAAGTACTGGAACCATCAAATAACAAAGACCGTGACTGCATCTTATCCTGCTACCAATCTTACCATAACTGGTTTATCACCTTGTACGTACTATAATGTGACTATCAAGGCTGTCAGTGAACTGGATAATGGACAATGGACTACAACCAGGAATTTCAGAACAGACTCGGAATGTATGTGTATGCTGTTTTGAATACATGATACACAATTAGTCTATTAAATAAAATTTAACATTTATTTGCATGTTTTTTTTGCATGGTATATAGTACCAAACGTTGCCCCCAGTGGTGTTAATGCACGAGCGAAGACGTCTCAAAGCATACTTGTTACATGGAAGGTAAACGTAGATCTATTTCAAGATATAGAGCTGTATCGAATAAACACTTATTTATAAATATCTAGAGTAAGGAAATGAAGTACCATTAACTAGCAACTTTAGCTGTGCACAGTATCCCACTTTGTGCAAACTTTTCAATCTCTCTTTGTCACTTGGAGTAGTTCCTGCATTATGGAAGCGTGCTAACATCTCGCCTGTCTTCAAAAAGGACGATCCAACTCTGGCTGAGAACTACGGTCCGATCTCACTTCTCTGTATTATCTCCAAAGTGATGGAGCGGTGCGTCCATAATCACTGCTACTCCCATCTAGCTTCCTTTTTCTACCATCTTCAGCATGGGTTTCTGAAAGGAAAGTCCACGGTTA